CCTCCAGACTATTCATCCAGTCTATCTTATCTAGATAGATCTGTAGAGATAATAATATGCACCAAAAACCAAGCCATAGCAAGATAGGTGACGAATGAGAACACAGCGATGACAACAAAGAAAACCAATGACCCGTAAAAGAATAAATTAATTAAAAGAAAAAAACTTTACAAAAGAAAGAGAAACCTGTAAATAGATCAAGGTCTGATTTTTGATCTCTAGGCATGTCCTTCAGCCAGGAACGATGGGGTACCATGCTCTGGCCCCAGAGTCTGTCCTTTGTACTCCCTCGGGGGCTCTCTGCTCTGCTCCCAAGGTTGCTCTGCCGCACGCTTTTAGTGGTTTGCCTGGGTGTTGCGGGGTCAGTCCGGGCCAGTCCCGCCACTGAGTCTCCAGATCATCCCTTTTTAAAGCATGTTAACGGGCACAGAAAGAATTCTTCCCAGAGAGATGTTTATTCGGCTAGGCCATATTTCTTTGATGGAATATGAGCTCAGGAACAACCCAGGTCAGAAGAGGTGTCTGACTGGACTCGGAGAGAATGCTGGGGGAGAATCCCGGCTGTTCCAGTCAGGAGAGGAGGAGAAGTTGCTGGGAGGTGGCCTGAGTGAGGAGCAGGGAAAGGGACAAGGGGCAGAGGAATGCGGAAAGCTGAGGAAAAGCCCTGAGCTATACTGGGACAGAGCGACCCCATAGAACAAAGTGGAACTGCCCCTGTGGGTTTCTGAAATTTTACAGGAGAAAGCCTCGTCTTTCTCCCTCTGAGGGATGGTTGGTCAGCAGTTGAATGTGTAATCCAACAGGTGCCCAAATCCAGATGCCTGGAGTTCCTTTAAGGAGTGCTGGTGGCACCCTGGTTAAAGCACTTGTCGGTGGTTACTCCATGGCTAACAATCCGGAAGTCCAGAGGGGTAGTTCTACTCTGTCCTGGGGGGTCATTACGAGTGGGGATTGAGTACAGGGCAGTGATGTTATTTTTTGTTGTTGATTGTTATTTTCCGTCATCAAAGGAGATCAATAAAACCACAGCATGCTTCCACTACCAATTTAGTGAGCAGAGAAGATTTAATGCTCATCCAAGCACTAACAATAAATCCACATGCTAACTGGTTTAAAGAGCTGTTCTTCTCATCTTATCAAATCCACAGCGCTGCTCTCTCTGTGACCTTTTGAAGTAGGTACTGTGATCCTCGTCTGAAGGATGCAGAAACGTGGGTACACAGGCCCAGGCACGCGTCCTCCTTCAGTGAACCTCTTTCACTGCAAGTAAAAGCATGAACATCAAATCCCTCTGGAGGGTACCTGGGAGCAGGTATCAACAGCTAGGGGACTGGGGGAGCAATGGGTACTCCGCTTGGCTGCGCACCTGCGCAACGGACCCAGGGTAAGTTCCGGGGAGAAAGCTAAGGCAGGGTGCACCTTCCTTAAGGATTAGTCTTGGAAACACAGTTCTTGCCCTCTGCCTATAGGGGCGCTGTGGGTCTGAATCCACTGGATGGCCGCGAGTGTTTTCAACAGCTAACCCATGGTCATTGCCCTCTGGTGCAGTGGACCCCTATGGTTTGTGTCCCCCCCTTTCCCCCAGCACAAGTCATACCACCGCACACCCATCATGATGGCTGGGCCATTGTTGCGTCATAGCATGCGCTTAGTATGTGGAATGCTACTTGGAGCTAGTTCATCCTATGGCGCGAAATGAAGTTCAAAATGTGTATACACAAATGATCCGTATGTTGGTCCCAATAAACGGACATCTGGGGGTGCTGGGCTTGCGGTTCTTCATTTCCTCCCGGATTTTTCTGTCACCGTTGATGTGGATCGCTTCTGTCATCAGAAACAAAGCATCGATGTCTGTTTTGCTCCTTGGGTGTTGGGGGCTGAGTTTACAAGGCCAGAGGCCGGCTGGGAA